CTATTCTCTAGATATTCTTTCCTCAACTGTCACACTGCCCCTGGGTTTTGCACAGTCTCAAATGCTCCAATCTCTTGCCTAGGTTAACAAGCTTATCCAGCTCACCTAACTGGGGAGGGCTTCTCTGAAGTTCCATGATGGCACTTCACAGAACAGCTTGGCAGCCTTTAATTCCAATAATAGAAAAGTTCTCTTAAACAATAGCTCATTTTATTTACATCAAATTTATCAATGTCATATCAACCCTAGAACAGTGTTCTCATTTAAGAAACAAACTCCATCAAGACAAGTTATTCTCTAGGCTTGTTCCTTCTCTTAGCATTAGGGCTGACATTTAAGGAAGGTATAATGGTGTAAAATATTTTATCTCATCTAAAGATTTATATCAGCTATTCAAATACTTAAAAGCAATGCATTATTTTCCTTGAACCTGTTCACATTTATTATACAGCGAATAATTGATTTTCATGAAATCCTCCTCTTGCTTGGCAGAAAGGCATTCTCTTTATTTTTTTATTGATACATAATAGATGTAGATATTTTGGGGCTACATGAAATAATTTGTTATATCCATATAATTTGTAATGATCAAATCAGTGGGATTGGAATATCCATCACCTTAACTATTTGTCTTTTTTTTTTTTTTGCCAGAAACCTTTGAATTATTCCCTTCTAGCTATTTTGAAATATAGAATATAAACTATAGTCACCTTACTGATCTATCAAACACTATGTCTTATTTCTTCTATCAAACTGTATATTTGTACCCAATAATTAGCCTCCCTTCATCCCCCCTCTCCCTATCCTTTTTGGCCTCTTATAACCATTATCTACTCTCTGTCTTCATGAGATCCACTTTTTTAGCTCTCACATATGAGTGAGAACATGCAATATTTGTCTTTCTGTGCTGCATTTATTTCACTTAACATTATGATCTCCAGTTCCCATGTTGCTGCAAATGAAAGGATTTCATTCTTTTTATGGCTAAATAATATTCTATTGTGTATATGTACCACTTATTTTATTCATCCCTGGGTGAGTACTTCCCTTGATTTGATATTTTGGCTATTGTGAATAGTGCTGCAACAATAAACATGGGAGTGCAGATATATCTTCAATATATTTATTTCATTTCTTTTGATATATACCCAGTAGTGAAATAACTGAATCATATGGGAGTTCTATTTTTAGTTTTTTGAGGAACTTCCATAGAGTTTCCACAGCGGCTTTACTAGTTCACATTCCCATCAACAATGTCCTAGGGTTTCCTTTCTGTACATCCTTGTCAGCATCCATTATCCCCTTTTTTATGAAAACCATTTTAACTGGAGTGAGGTAATATCTCATTATGGTTTTGATTTGCATTTCTCTGATGGTTAGTGCTGTTGAGCATTTTAAAAATATAACTGATGGCCATTTGTATGTCTTCTATTGAGAAATGTCTATTTGGATCTTTTGTCCATTTAAAAAAGTCAGAATATTTGTTCTTTTACTATTGGGTTGTTCATATTCCTTATATATTCTTCTTATTAATCCTTTATCAGATGGGTAGTTTGCAGATATTTTCTCCCATTCTGTGAGTTGTCTCTTCACTTTGTTAATTGTTTCCTTTGCTGTGCAGAAGTTTTTAGCTTCATATAACTCCATTTGTCTCTTTTTGCTTTGGTTTCCTCTGTTTTGAGATCTTACCTAAAAATTCTTTGCCCAGACCAATGTCCTGGAGCATTTCTTCAATGTTTTTTTTTTTTTTTTCCCCTAGTGGTTTCATAGTTTCAAGTCTTAGGTTTAAGTCTTTAATCCATTTTTATTTGATTTTTGTATATCATGAGAGATAGGGATCTAGTTTTATTCTTCTGCATATGGTTATCCAGTTTTTCTAGCATCATTTATTGAGAAGACTGTCCTTTTTTCCATTGTATGTCTTTGGTGCCTTTGTCAAAAATGAGTTGGCTGTAAATGCATGGATTTATATCTGTGTTCTCTATTCTGTTCCATTGGTCTATGGGTCTGTTTGTATGCTAGTACCATGCTGATTTGGTTATTATAACTTTGTAGTATATTTTGAAGTCAGGTAGTGTGATGCCTACAGCTTTGTTCTTTTTACTTAGGGTTGCTTTGGCTATTTGAGGCATTATGTGGTTCCATATACATTTTAGAACTGTTTTTTTACTATTTCTGCATTGAATCTGTACATTGCTTTGGGTAGTATTGTCACTCTAACAATATTAGTTCTCGCAATCCATGAACACAGAATATCTTTCCTTTTTTGTGTCTTCTTCAATTCCTTTAATCAGTGTTTTACAGTTTTCCTTATATAGATCTTTCAATTTTTCAGCTAAACTGCTTCTGGGGCATTTTATATTATTTGTAGATATTGTAAATGTGGTTGCTTTCTTCATTTTTAAAATATTATTTGCTGTTAATGAATAAAATGTTACTGCTTTTTGTATGTTGCTTTTGTATCCTGCAACTTTACTACATTATTTTATCCATTCTAGCAGCTTATTGTTGGAGTCTTTTTTTCTTAATCTTTTATTTTAAGTTTAGGGGTATGTATGCAGGATGTGTAGTTTTGTTACATAGGTAAACATGTGCCATGGTGGTTTGCTGCACAGATCATACCATCACCTAGGTATTAAGCCCAGCATTCATTAGCTATTCTTCCTGATGCTCTCCTTCCCCCAAACCCACCCCCTCTGATAGGCCCCAGTGTGTGTTGCTCCCCACCATGTGTCCATGTGTTCTCATCATTCAGTGCCCACTTGTAGGTGAGAACATGCAGTGTTTGGTTTTCTGTTCCTGTGTTAGTTTGCTGAGGATAACGGCTTCCAACTCCATCCATGTCCCTGCAAAGAACATGATCTTGTTCCTTTTTATGGCTGCATAGTATTCCATAGGTGAAGTCTTTAGTTTTTTCTAAGTATAACATCATGTTGTCTGCAAACAAGGGTAATTCAATTTCTTCCTTTCCAATCTGGATGCCCTTTATTTCTTTCTCTTGCATAATTGCTGTGGCCAGGACTTCCAGTATTATGTTAAATAAAAACGGTAAAAGGGGGCATCCTTGTCTTGTTCCAGATCTTAGAGGAAAGGCTTTCAATTGTCTCCCATTCAGTACTACATTATCTGTGAGTTTGTCATATACGGCCTTTATTATTTTAAGGTACGTTCCTTCCATTTCCAGTTTGTTGGGAGTTTTTGTCATAAAGGGATGTTGACATTTATCAAATGCTTTTTTCAGCATCTACTGAGATGATTTTATGTTTTTTCTTCCAGGTTCTGTTAATGTGATGTATCATGTTTATTGATTTGCATATCTTGAGCCATCCTTGCATCCCTGGAATAAATTCCACTTGATCACGATGAATGATCCTTTTAATGTGTTGTTAAATTCAGTTTGCTAGTATTTTGTTGAGAATTTTTGCATCAGTGTTTATCAGTAATATTGGCCTGTAGTTTTGTGTTGTGTCCTTGTCTAGTTAGTATCAGGGTAATGCTGACTTCATAGAATGTGTTCCCTCCTTTTCAATTTTTTTTAAAGAGGTTGAGTAGAACTGATATTAGTTTGGTATAACTTAGCAGTGAAGCCATCAGGTCTTGGGCTTTTCTTTGATGGGATACTTTTTATTACAGCTTTGATCTTGGTACTTGTTACTGGTTTGTTGAGGTTTTCTATTTCCTCATGGTTTAATCTTGGTAGGTTGTATACGTCCAGAAATTTTTCTAAGGTTTTCCAATTTGTTGGCATATATAGTTGTTCATAATAGTCTCTAATTATTGTTTACATTTCTGTGACTTGAGTTGTTATGTTTCTCTTTTGTTTATGATTTTATTTATTTGAGTCTTTCATGTTCCACATGCTGATGGAAGAATGTGTATTCTGTAGCAGCTGGGTGAAATTTTCTGTAAAAGTGAATTAGGCTCATTTGTTCTCATGTATAGTTTAACTCCAGTGTTTCTTTGTTGGTTTTATGTCTGGATGATTTGTCCATTACTGAGAGTAGGATGTTGAATCCCCTACTCTTATTGTATTGTAGCCTCTTTCTCCCTTTATATCTATTAATGTTTGCTTTTATACTTGGAAGCTCCATTGTTGGGTGTATAGATATTTATAATTGTATATTGTCTTGCTGAATTGTCCCCTTTCACATTATATAATGACTTCCCTTGTCTCTTTTTATAGTCTTTGATTTTTAGTCTATGTATTAGTCTGTTTTCACACTGCTATAAAGAACTACCTGAGACTGGCTAATTTATTTAAAAAAAAAAAAAGAGAGAGAGAGAGAGCTTTAATTGACTCACAGTTCCACATGGCTGGAGGGGCCTCAGGAAATGTATAATCATGGTGGAAGGCAAAGGGGAAGCAAGACACATCTTGCAGTAGCAAGAGAGAACAAGGGGGTAAGTGTCACACTTTTAAACCATCAGATCTCATGAGAACTCACTCACTATCATGAGAACAGCATGGGGGGAAACTGCTCCCATGATCCAATCACCTCCCATTTGGTCTCTCCTCCCAGCAACAGGGATTACAATTTGAGATGAGATTTGGGTTGGGACACAGAGACAAACTGTATCAGTCTACTTTATCTGATAAAAGTATAGCTGCTCCTGCTCTTTTTTGGTTTCCAGTTTCATGGAATATCTTTTTCCATTCCTTCACTTTAAGTCTATATGTGGTCTTTAAAGGTGAAGTTGCTTTCTTGTAGACAGCATATATTTGGGTCTTATTTCTTTTTTTTTTTTCTTTCTTTTTTTTTTTACATTATATCAGGTATTTTAATGTAGAGATGATTGAAAGTATACAGGAGACTATGTATAGGTTACATACAAATACTATGCCATTTTATGTAAGGGACTTGAACATCTGCAGATTGTGGTATTCACAGCTAAATAGACTGCTCTGTGTGGGGAAAGAGGCCCTACAGTGAAGTGAAAAGTAGACACTTGATTGTGGACTAATTTTTTCAGTATTTCCCAAAAACTTACAGCTAACAACATAATATTAAACATGTTTTATTAGCATCTTATACATCTGACACTCTCTCCTAAGCATCCAGTTTATTTTCTAGTCATGGGTTACTTACTAAAAGTCTGTGTAACAGGAGCTCACATCAGATCAGAAAACATCAAGTGGGTAGTATTTTTGACCGAATTAACATACCAAAGAAATTGCCTATATCATGTATATGGGCTCCAAGGGTAGTTCATAGTTCAGCCTCTTCATTCTTTTCTGCTTTTGTCACCTGATATAGAAAATGATCTATAAAATCCTTATAAATAAGACATGAGTTTTGCCTGTAATGAGTAGGATGAAAAAAGGCCAGTGCTGCATGCTATGAAACAATAGCAACTTTATAGGGGAATCCAAGGTTTGTGTGCACAAAAATTATAAACGTCATTTTCTGTTGTGCTGGAAAAACTGAAGTTTAAAACACAAATCAACTAAGCCTTTCAAGGATGAGGTATCACAACACTGGTAGCTGTTTAATATATTCATTTTAAGTAAGACTGGATGCTAAAAATACAATCACTGTAATTAATAAAGTTGAGGGAAAACACAAAGATCAGCTAATGGGGTAAAAGATCATTTAGGGTAAAATAAATGTAACATTCTTTATGTTCTCAATCACCTGGGAAGGCAAACTGTGGAGTATCAGGAAATAAGAGTTTTCTCATTTTCAGTAACATGGAGGTATACACTTCAGAATTCAGAAGGTAACTGAGGCTATAAATAGTAATTAAAAGAACAAAACAGAAGAAAGCAGGGGGAGTCCATTGTCCAGCTGTTGCAATTTTCCTGAAATCTTGTTTTTGAGTCTCTCCTATTTAAGGACAAAACAATTTAGCACACAACAAAAACCTCAAAAAGGGTGCCAGTTGGACCACAAAGCACTGAACTTTCATTAGGATGTAAAAGCCATTTTGAAAAACAATCTCCACTGTATGTCAAGTTATTTGACTCCTCAATGCAACATGCAACTCAATGAAATATAATTTGAGTAGTGTTGTGTTGGTATGTATCATGATTATGACTCCAAGAAAAATGTATCTAGTACATTCTAGAGGTTTTGTGGAGGACGCTGTAAAACAAAGTTTGAAGTAAACAATAATAAAATACAAAAATAAAAAACCAGGGTTTTTTCCTCCAAATTCCTGGTTTAATAAGGACTTGTTTATTTTGAGGAAAAAAGGTCCCAAACATCAGGCTGTTCACAAAAATAACCCACAGTATCAACTTTAGAAAACAAATCTTAAGACTATAACACTAATTATTTTTCTAGAGGATGCATTTGACATGCCAACTCTCATTCACAAAAATACATTGTTACATTTGTGTTGAACTGCCCCACACAGCACACTAATGTGGGGGTGTAACACACATACTTCTAACTCAAAGCTGCTTTCAGGAGCTACTCAACTAAATGAGATTGCCTTTGCAGTTAGGGAAGCAACTACTGAACTTATGTATGAATGAAAAGAACTGTACTCCCTGCATAACAAGAGATTATTTTGGAGACAGTTGATAAAAACCATACATCCTTTTTATTGTTAAGTCATAAAGAGGTATCAAAATTAAAAGTAAAAATTACAGGGTAAGACTTAACAAAACTACTAGGAGCGTCAAAGGAAGTGAAAATGGGACTAGGCGTGGGGCAATATGAATTAATGAACATGGGAAGGACAAGGATGGGGAGAACAGTGAGCATGTGCTGAAGATACTAGGGGAGAGGATCTGGTGAAAAATTTGATCTTAGACAAGCGCCTAGGTAAAGAAATAATGGGATAAGATTTCTAAACCCCACTATGTGCTTAAGAGTCATCCTCGCCATTGGCGCTGTCTCTGTCATCCTCTCCTTCCTCAGCCTCTTTTTCATCATCCTTGATCAACTCCAGCTGGTCATCCCCTCGATCTTCATTATCATCATCATCCAGTAGGTCCCCCTCCTCAGCAGAGTCATCTGCACCCCCCGCAGACTCCATCTTCACATTAGTCTCATCTTTCTTCACGGAGCTGCTGCTCTGCTCCTCTTCTGACCTATCGTTCTTCATCTCTACTGCTTGTTTGCTCTGTTCCTTTTCAATTTTTTCCAGGTTTTCCAGGAGAGAATCCACTTTTTGTTTTATCTGGGTCAACTCCTTCTTAATGGCCTGAAGGTCATCGCCTTTCAACTTTCCAGACTTGGAAGATCCCCGCTGTCCACTCTTAGAATTGAAGCCACTTTTGCCCCTTCGTGAGGTGTTTCCTGATACATGCTGACGTTTCGAGGGCACTACAGCCCGAGCAATAGGAGGAGGAGGAGGTACACGTGCTGGGTAACTGTATATCCTATCATAATAGTCCCGTTGAAAGTCATAGTCCAAGTCAAAAGAGGAGCCGTACATCTCCGCTGCAGATCGTTTCACACCTGCTTTTCCTCGGTTCACTTTTGGCTCTGCAGCCAGGTTAATATCTAAAACCTGGCCAGCAATCATTCTGCCATCCTCTCCTGCTACAGCAGCCCGGGCATTTCTCTCATTAACATATTGAACGAAGGCAAAGCCCTTATGAACAGAGCAGCCCACAGTTTTGCCATACTTCGAAAAGATTGCCTCCACATCAGATTTCTAGACCACAAGAGTGTTGAGATTCCCAATGAACACACGGGAGTTCATGGAGCGAGGATCTGTCTTGTTGGTAACGTTGCTGGCCATTGTGTTTGATGATAAGGTTTCTCACAAAGCTGAAAACAGGAGGTGGGAGGGAGAAGAGATTCGATTCTGAGTCTCCTACTCCCGGATTCTGCGTGGAGAAACCGACTGCTAGTCGAGGTCGGCAACGCGGCCACAACCGCCCAGTCTTCACCTCTTCACAAAATCAGGTCTTATTTCTTTATCTATTCAGCCATGCTGTGCCTTTTATTTTTTATTTATTTTTATTTTTTAGAGATAGGATCTTGCTCTGTTGCCCAGGCTGGAGTGAAGTGGTGCAATCATACCTCACTGTGACCTCAAATTTATGGATTCAAGGGATCCTCCTGTCTCAGCCTCCTGAGTAACTGAGACTATGGGGATGTACCTCCACGTTCAGCTGATTAAAAATTTTTTTTTTTTTTTTTTTTTTTTTTTTTTTTTTTGTAGAGATAGGGTTTTGCTACGTTGCCCAGACTGGGTTTGAACTACTTGCCTCAAGAAAGTCTCCCATCTGAGCCTCCTAAAGTGCTGGGATTGTAGGAATGAGCCACTGCAGTTGGCCCCTCTGTGCCTTTTAGTTGGAGAATTAAACCCTTTTACATTCAGTGTTATTATTGATAAGTAAGGACTTACTACTTCCGTTTTGTTGCTTATTTTCTGGTAGTCTTGAAACTCCTCTCTTCCTTTCTTCCTTTTTATTGTCTTTCTTTGTGGCTAGGTTATTTTCTTTGGTGGTATGTTTTAATTTATTACTTTTTATTTTTAGTGAATTTATTAGAGGTTTTTACCCTGTGGTTACCATGAGACTTACAAAAGACATCTTATAGATATAACAAGTTATTTTAAAGAGATGACAATTTATCTTAGATCATAAAGAACAGAAACAAAGAAAAAAGGAAGAAACCTCTATACTTTAACTCCATACCTCTTACATTTTGACTTTACGTTTGACTCAGTTTACATGTTCTATACTGCCTATATCTTAAGAGATTTCTATAGCCATTATTGTTTATCTTTTATGTTTCATACTAGAGTTATGAGTGGATTGCATACCACAATTACAGCAGTAGAGTATTCTGGGTTTGTTTGTGTGTTTAATTTTACCTATGGGTTTTACACTTCCAAATTTTTTATTTTTGCACATTAGTGGATTTTTTTTTTTCTCAGATTGAAATCTTCCCTTTAGCATTTCTTACAAGACAGGTCTGGTGGTGGTGAATTCTCTCAGCTTTTCCTGGTCATGGAGCAACGTTATCTCTTCTTCATATTTGAAGGATAGCTTTCCTGGATACAGCACTCTTAGATGGCAGACTTTTCTTTCAGCACTTTAAAAATGGTGTCTCACTCCATCTTGACCTGTATCGTTTCTGTTGAGGAGACTATTGCCAAACAAATTGCAGCTCTTTTATTTGTTATTTGCTTCCTTTCTCTTGACGCTTTTAGAATCCTCTCTCTGTCCTTCATTTTTGAAAATTTGATTATTATATGCCTGGGGGCAGTCTTATTTGGGTCAAATCTGTTTGTTGTTCTCTGACCTTCTGGTACCTGTATATTTATCTCTTTCTCAAGTTTTGAAAAGTCTTCCATTGTTATTTATTTAAATCATTTTCTACTCCTTTTTGTTGCTCAACTCCCTCTTGAACACCAACAATTCTTAGATTTGGTCTTTTGAGGCAATTTTCTATACTTTGTAGGTGATTTTCATTCCTTTGCATTCCTTTTTATTTTTTCTCTTTGATTGTATATTTTCAAATAGCCTGTCTTCAGGCTCACTAATTATTTCCTCTACTTGATCCATTCTGCTATTGAGAGCCTCTAACACATTTTTCAGTTCAGCAAATGCATTTTTCAGTTCTGATATTTCTGTTTGATTTTTAAAAGTTATTTCAACCTCTTTGTTAAATTTCTCAGAAAAAAATCTGAATTGATTTTCTGCCTTATCTTGGAGATTACTGAGTTTCCTTAAAACTGCTATTTTGCATTCTTGGTCAAAGAGTTCATATATTGCCATTTCATTGTGGTCAGTCACTGGTTTGTTTGTCCACTGGAGATGTCATGGCTCTATTTGCTGTTGTTTATTATGAATGTATATCTAAGTCATTGCATTGATGAATTAGTTATGTATTTTAGTCTTCTGTCTGGCTTGTTTGGGTTTTTACTGGATATGTTTGCTTAGAGATTCTTTGTAATTTACCTGTTGATTATCTTTCTTTTTTTTTCTTTAGATTGCTGCCTCCTTTTCAGCACTAGATAGTGCCTCAAGCCCAGGTTTGCCTCTCTTCTAGTAAACAAACAGAGTGCCAGCCAGGGGAGCTGTAGAATGAACTTTCTACAGTGTAGTGCTGCTGAACAGTCACTCTGATTTGGTGTCTCCTTTGGTCCAGGTACAGAGCAGAGTTTCTAGGGCTGGGGTTACTAATGCCCCCCTCCCCTTTGCCTTTACCTCTCTTTAGAGATATTTCTTTATTCAGTTACTCCTCATGCTGCTTCCTGTGGGTTCAAGCAGGGAAAGTCTCCTGCCAAGGAACCCAAGGTGATGAGGAAGCTGGTTACCCACTAGGATCTCACTTTTACTAGTGTAGAAACCGTGGGTTGGGGGAAATGTTTGATCACTCTTTGTGCCAGGCAGATTAGGGAGGTGGTATTACAAATATGAAAATCAGATTTTCTTACCATATGCTCAGGGTTTTTTCACTTATTTGTGGTCCTGGGAACTGTCTCATCCTCATATTTTAGTTCTGGGATATTGCTGGTTATACTCTCAGTAATGTATATTTGTTTTTTGTTTTGTGTGGGAAGAAGTGAAGCCAGCTTGCTTTAACAAAGCCATTGTGGAACCAGAAGACCCCCATCCCTTTACTGTCAGGAGACTGAATATTTTGAGAAAACCACTGTATTAGGTTAGCCTAAGTAATGGGAATTTGATTCTTCCATGACACTGTATCAGTTTTTTTTAACTAATGAAAATTGCTAAGTGAAAAAGTAGGATAAGAAATTTGTCTATATGTTATTAGAATAACCACATTAAAACAAACAGCAAAATTTATTTGTAGATGGCAAACAAACAAGACAGGTTTTCAACTTCAATAGGCACCAAGAAAATGAAACCACAGTGTGTACTACACTGGGATGGTAAATTTTATGTGTCAACTTGACTGGGCTAAGGGATGCCCAGATAACTGGTAAAACATTACTTCTGGGTGTGTCTGTGAGAGTGTTTCCAGAAGTGATTAGCATTTGAATCAGAGACTGAGTAAAGAAGATCTTCCCTCATTATTCAATCCATTGAGGGCCTGAATAGAACAAAAAGGTAGAGGAAGGGGAAATTTCCCCTCCTTTCTTAAGTTGAGATGTCTGTCAGCTCCTGCTCTCAGACATTGGGGCTCCTGGTTCTCTCAGGCCTTTAGGACTCCAGCTGGCCTTCTCCAACTTCTACCCCATGGCTCTTAGTCTTTTAGACTTGGACTTCATTACATCACTGGCTTTCCGGGGTCTCCAATTCCTTATACAAGGAATGTACTACATATGTATACATATATATGTAGTAAATTTTATATATGAGTATTAAAAATATATATATTTACATACACTCATATGTACACACACATATACCTCCTTTTGATTCTGTTTCTCTGGAGAACACTGACTAACATACACACTTATACCAGAGTGCCTAAAATTTAAAAAAGATGTAAAAGGCCAAGTGGAGATAGCAGAACTCTCACATGGTATTGGTAGAAAGGAAACTCGGTACAAATACTTTGAAGATCTGTTCAGCAGTATCTATTTAAACTTAAAACATACATACCCTGTTACCTGAAAATTCTGTTTTTAGGTATATTTCCAACAGAAATGCATACAACCATTCACCTAAATACATGGACCAGAATGTTTATAGCATAACCTTAAATCAAAAACTATCAAATGTCCATCACCAATTAAAAGGATAACTGTATTGGAGTACATTCACACAATCAAATACTCTACAACTATGAAGGTAAATCATCTACAATTATGCACAAAAATATGAATTAATCTCACAAACATGGAGTCAAATGAAAGAAGCCAGATATAAAAGCATATACTTGTAAGATTCCATTTATATGAAGTACAAAACAGATGAAACTAACCAAGGCCATGCGTATGCTATTTATGTCATGAAGGTGCAAAGAGGAAGTCAAATGCCCACAGGATGAATAGGAATATTAATCCTCCATACTTTCCCCTTCTCCCATGAGAGGGTCCCACCACAAGCACTACACACAATAAAACTAAGATAGTTTTCAAATGAATGCTGTTGCTGAAGCCGAGAATAAGAAGGCACAAAGCCATGGAGACACACTTAATCATTTTCCCATTTATGTTTCCATCAGAGCATAGAAATACTGTGATTTTGGCTATAGTTATAAATGAAAACTAGTTAGGTGTAATGTGATAGAGGAAAGCGTTAGTAAGTAGGGTGGTAAAGAATACGAGTAGATTTATTTAATGTGTTTTACACCAAGACATTTGCCAGAAACTATTATAAACATTTACTTTACCCATAATCTTTATGAGAAAAGTTGCAGGTGAATATTGTGCTAAAAATCCCTCTAATTTGTTTAAACTGTGCACAAACAGACCACACAAAGGCTCAGAAGACATCAACAGAGGATATTGCCATAATTGAATACAATTTACAACAAAGATAATCTGACATGTATTTAGTGATGTGTATGAAAGCTAATTTTCTGGGTAAAGAGCAAGTGGCACATGATAGGGTTTGGCTCTGTGTTCCCACCCAAATCTCATTTTATTATAATCTTCACATGTCGAGGGAGGGACCTGATAGGAAGTGATTGGATCATGGGGGTGGTTTTTCCCATGCTGTTCTCATGATAGTGAGGGAGTTATCCAGATCTGATGGTCCTAAAATGCAGCACTTTCCCTTTGCTTGTTCTCTTTGTCTCCCTTCGTGGTGCCATGTAAGACGTGCCTTGCTTCCCCTTTGGCTTCCACCATGATTGTAAGTTTCCTGAGGCCTCCCCAGCCATGTGGAACTGTAGGTCAGTTAAACCTCTTTTATTTATAAATTACCCAGTCTCAGGTACTATCTTTATAGTACTGTAAAAATGGACTAATA